TCCAGGTTCAGGTCGAGAATCTCCATCTCGCGGAGACTTGATTCCGCGTACGGAGACGACGCCATTCTTCGTAGCATCTTGGTCGTGATGCAGGCCTCGCGAAAGCACACGATATGGGCAAGTCCGTTCCATCGCTTACAGACTCTGAGGCGTGATAGATCTGAGCGGAAGTATGATGAGCCCACATGGTCGAAGATTTGAAGAAGGATCTCGGCTGGAAGTTCTATGAGTGACATGGTGTGTCGTCGCGTGGGAGAGGGTGAAAGCCGCCTAGAAACTCCCAGGTTGGTATATGATGCCGAACAGTAAAGCAATTTCCGCAAGCCAGATGGGCGAGGGCATAACTATCCCATTCTTCGCGGCACAGCAGCTCTTCATGTCGGCAAATGCGGGGTAATATCAGGCACCCGCATTCTCAAGAGCGAGGTGCTCGGTTTACAAAGTAAAACATATCCAATGATGGCGGGGCAACAGTCAGGGGTAAAAGGATGGTTGCAAAAATAAAGAGGGTCAGGGGCAGGGCGGGGAGAGTGTTTAAGGAGGATACTTGAGCATGAAAACAAATCATGTACTCGGGAGTGGCGCTTAGCGCCAAGTGAAGCCTAATTCCTTACAGCTGCCACCACCAGATTCCCATGTGTTTTTTATTGCCTAACGCCACTTCCAAACCCTAACCTACATTTGTGGCAGGTTAACGGTGGTGTGCGCTGGCCTACTTCTCTCCTGTTTAATTTTTGGGCATTCATTCGATTTTCTTTTTCACGAACACCAGCTTTCTGTAAACACCACCTTTGCGCAATGGGATCAACACAGATCCCCCTCCCAGCGAGCGCTATGCAGCCGGCGTCGAGCTCAACATTCGAACACATATTCCACCGGAGCCCTTTGGGCAGATGTAATGGGGAAATACTCCCAAAGTCAACGTCGCTCATCGAGACCATCGCCTCCACTTTGCGTTAAATAACCCCCCACAGGACCCTTGTCCTTGGGAAACGTTAGACCCATCGACCACGATCAGAAATACTTGTAATTGATGAGTTTATTCCATCAAAGAAAAACCGTGGACGTGGTTCAACTGTGGTGGTCTGCCACCTTAAAGGCAACCCATCGGAGCAGCGCATGCCAAAATCTACAAGGGGGTTGATTACCCGGACCAAACTGACCCAGACCAAGACGACTCAGACTACAATGAAGATATGGACTGCATGACCCGCGCAGACTTGGATTATGCCCTCGAAGCCAGGTCCTACATTGTCATGGAACATCACCTGGAGGAAGCATCTATTTCCGATAGGGGAGCGCCCCAATACTATGATGCCTGGACTTTTGCGGTCGAAACCCATATTCCGGACCGTCTACGTTTGGTGCGTATGATCCTTCTCGAGCGTGTCACCGGCGACACCATGGAGGATATAATCCTGCAAAAGCAAGACGTCGGCAAGGAGGAGTGCAGGTCTGTACTGAAACGCGTAATTGACGCGGAGCGACTTTTGTGGTGGTAGCGTCTCATTGGCTTGGACAATCTCGATCCGAGTAAAATCATCATTCGCAAAGACAAGAACTCGTAGGTTGCTTTTATAGGCTTCACAGCCGTCCGTTTGTTCTACTACTACAACAAGCAGGTACATCCTCTTCACCGTGTAGATCAGCCCAAGAAGCCAATGTCGCCCATCCTACAGTACTGGCCCTTCCAGCCTTTGAAAAACAATGAACGCACGACTGGTGCTTGGAGCGAGTTGATATCCAAAGCCTGGCATGCAGGTGACCAGGATTAATATGCACAATGGTTAATAGAGACCTGGGGGAACGATGACAAATACGCACCTGTACGCGAATGGATCTTCCAAGAGAAGCATCAGCAAGACCGGAGACACAAAAATCGCAACATAATGCGTAAGATGTTGAAAAGGAGCCGGAAAGCATCCGTCACACTATCAACAACAGCGCGGCTCTGACGAAAGCACTACCTCATAATCCACAACAATAACGGTAGATAGTGTTTTCTACATTCCTCCGGCGAAACAAACACAAGCATCTCGAGTTTAGGGTCACAAAGCTCTACACTTGCGCTTCGTGAGCAGAGGAGCGAACTGCCTAAGCTCCCAGAGGAGCAAGAAGGAGAGGCTTGATGGGCTTTTATGCTATAACCGATGGTGATCTAGATAGATAATACATCTCTTTAACTTTATTTTTATAACGCTGTCTTTGTAAATCTCTCCCATTAACAAGCAACGCATAGGGCCCTCTAGATAAACTCATTTACAATCTTATCCCCATTATCTTGTGATGTTTATGGGACAGTTTATTGGGGGTGTCAGTATTTCTAAGTACACTTCTTTTGCTATCCCCCCCTAATGTAGGGCTAGCGAAGGTACTATAACATCTTATTCTACCGCATTTATATCTACTTCCCAGCCGGTCGCCGACGTAAACTCTACTTCCACAGCGTCTGGTCTCCTCAAGATCTACATAACCTAAGTGATTATTACTAATTAGCTTTTGACTTCAGACAATACCAAGGCGTTGTCACCTCATAAAAAGTAAATGTACCCTTCTTAAAGGCTAGTACACCCAACCGGGCAAACCCCCGAATCCTGTAGACGAGGTCCTCTGCTCATCCAAACCCCACCAACCCGCTTTATCAACCTATCCTCCACCTTCCCATCCCACTCCTGCCGCTCCGGTTTCCTAACCACCTTCCCCTTCCCCTCCTACTAGGACGGTAAAAACCTCGAGGCGAGGGCAGTTTGAGAGGCGGAATTGAGAAAGAGTGACGGGCTTAATTAGCAGAACCGGCAGGAGCCATGATGGCACCCACACAGATTCCTGCAAAAGCTTTTCAATCTTCCATTTTGTCTCTTCCGTTTATTCGCCTGCAGTGCATTCTCCCTGTCAGACTTTCTGTGTTGCACAATAGAGGGCCAAACAACAGTCATGGTACACGCACCGTCAAACCCGTACGTTGCTCCCCAGCAACGTGTGGGATGCCCTTCCATCACCAGTAAAGCCACTTCCACAAGCCTCTACCTCTAACAAGCAAAAAGATTCGCAAACCGAGCGATCCCCCAGCTAGAGGAAAGCCTGCAGTTGGATGGATCGAGGTCCCACCCAGCTTCCTAGTTGACATAGGCCTCAAGGTCATTCAGCCGCATAAAGACCATCTCAAGACAGTCGGAATGTCTCCAAATAATCCAACGGCCGCCTTGCATAGCGAGGCCGATGTGGTCGCTTGGTGGGACGGACAGATCTTACAACCTGTCTGCTACGCACTCTACCGCGCTCGCGAGGTCAAGGGAAAGCCGAGTTTTGGTACGATCTCCGAGTTTTTCGCTCCCGCAAGCAAACCAGAAACTCCTCCGGCGAACGAACCTAGTGACGCCCCTGAGCGCATACCTGATTGCGCATCTAAGCCTGACAAGGTCATTAGGTATGACACGGATAACCTCGATGCCATGGAGCTCATTGGTTTCATTGAGTTTGAAAAACGAGGGGTAATCAGGGCCGAAGAGTTTAGAACAGCAGTGTTTTGAGACCTATCAAAGGATGAGCTCGAGGAGGCAAAGGCCAGTACTATGAATGATCGTCGCGCTGGGGAATATCTCCATTCAAAATTTGACTTGGAGAAGAGCCTCGTAAAACTCGCCGCTCACTTTACGGCGTACTTAAAACGCCGGTTGTTCATCACATCGTTTTTCAAATCTGGCTGATGACAAGCACGCCTTATTGGCTTAGTCCGACAAAGAGTCATACTTTCTCCATGGAACGTTGATTGAGTTTTGATGGGCATGATCAAGTCAGGCTTGCCTTCTTGGGATGGATGGTATTGGCGTTGGAAGCAAAAGAAAACCCGGGGGGCAAGTATTATTACGGTGCTGTTGACCGTTGCCCCATATCAAAGAACAGGAACAGGGATGAACGTACTGAGAAGCGCGCAGATAACAAAGAGAAAGGGTCAGATGTTGCATCTCGACCATCCAAGAGACGGATGTTGGATGCGCCAGGGGCTGTAAGTGAATGAATATTGAAGGTGGAAATCTGGGAGATTAGTTGGAGCTTCCGAGCCAAAAGTAGTCTTGGAAATTCAAAAGATATTATTATGCTCTTTTCCCAAGGCCTTTGTGATATAGAAATCTACACTCCGTAGCAGACGCGTGAATAATGATGATGTTGTGCGTTGTGGGTGTCACAGAAAACCTCTACGAGGTTAGGCACCGTTGGGCACCTTGAGCCACGCTTTTTGGCATCCACGTAATTCAGATACAAATGATGCGCGGCTCCGGAGCTGACAAAATTCAGATCTAATATAGCTATATGTATATCTACCTTAACAAGATCCTTTGCAATTATCTAAGAAACCGCGGTATTGAGATGTTTAAGTATAAATGTTGGGAAAAGTGCTGTTTCTGGGCCACGCTCATTAGAGAAAGCCTACCGCCAGACAAAGCAGCACGGTAGCGGTTCTGAGCATCAACGCGTGTGACATCGCTATAGTCGTTGATAATGGTGTTGTCGAGTAATAGTAGAGTGAGACAGTATTGTGGGTAGGCCAAAAAGGAAGAGGAACGGTGACATTGATATTACTCGCTACAACCATGGTGTCACAGGCAAGTTCAACTGATAAAAACTCATTAATCCAGCCAGTTCTTAACCATCAACCGTATCGATTCCTACCTAGGGTCATTGCACCGAGGTCAGACAGGTATGTCCCGCGGGTATTCAGGGGCTTCATACTTGTATACCTACATCCAGTCATCACCCTCCTCATTGTATGTCTTAGGTATCTCCACAATCAAGTCGCATAAAGACATTGTTCAGCATATCCTGTCTGCCCCGACTTAGTATCAATACACCTTTTCGGCTCTACACGATATTCTATCCGTACAGTAACCCACTTTCTTACGTCCCATTCAACATCATGTACTAATTGAGCTCATGTACAATTTTTGCTACTTTCCTACCACCTACACCTTATTATTTATACATTCCATTTAGACTCCCACTTAAGCCTTGAGCGCCAAGATCCTCTCAGCAGCCTTCTCAGCCGCGATGACAATCATGCCAGACGGGTTACCCGTCGACATACCAGGGAAGATGGAGGCGTCAACCACAAAGAGGTTGTCAGTGCCATAGACCTTGGTGTCCAAGTCAACTACGGCAGTACCACCCTCACGACCATCATCAGTGCCAAGCTTGGCAGTACCCATCCAGTGGTTGGAGCGGCGGGCGGATGGGGAGACAGGGAGCTATCGACAATGTTAGCCATTGTTCATGGCGCGTAAATGAGGAAAAGACTTACGCCATTGACATAGTCCTCAACAGTTCCGGTGGGAGGGGGAAGGACCCAAGTGATGTTGGGGATCACGTTGAGGGCGGCTTGAAGCTTCTTGATACCAGCAATAACGGCCTCCTTGTCACCAGCGTTGTGGAGATAGGGGTGCTCGGAAACAGCGGTGGCGAGACCAGGGGTGATGGTCATCCGGCCTCTGGAAACGACACCTCTTCCGAGGTACTGGCTGAGAGTCATGGCATCTAATCTGTTAGCTTATGGGTGTTACACATTGTAGAAGGGCTAACATACGTGGGGAGTCAGTGATGCGACCATCTCCCTCAACACGGGCTGTCCATTGGAATTGACGGGGGATGCCGTCAGAAGGAGTAACCTCTTCCCAGACCATGGGTCCGATGTTGGGGGCAGCCTGGGTCAAGATACCAGTGCGGTTGTTGAGATAACGCTCCTTGTCACCCTCATTGGGGGCAGTCCAGGCCTCGTAAAAGTCATAGAAGACGACGTCGGGGTGAGTCAAGATAAGATCGGTGTTGAGATGGTCAATCAGGTTGGAGCCGACCGGGAGGTCGATCCACTGATCCCGAGAGATGAAGGTCTCGCCGTCCTTGGAGCCGGCAACGATCTCGAGCTGGTCACGGGGACCGATACCGCCTGTCATTGTGTGTTAGCTTTCGGTGCTTGAGAAAGCCCACAAGAAGGACTTACTGCGCATGAGAAGCTTGGCAGAGCCAAAAGTACCAGCAGAGAAGATGACACCACCCTTGGCGCTAATCTTGACTTCACCGCTGTAGCCACCGTCCCTCAAGCATTCGAGTTCAACACCGGTAACCTTGCCACCTGTTCTGATAGCCCTGCGCACAGCACTGCCAGTCCAGAGGTCAAAGTTGTCACGGTTGTTGGCTGAAACAAGGTATGTGGCAAGCGGGCCATCTCTCTCACCGTATCGGAACATGAAGTGGGTGTGCGCAAACGCGCCGTTCTTCTCGTTGGGCGACTGATTGGCAACAACCTCCTTGTAGCCCGACTTCCTCAGGCCACTGGAAAGAACATCGAAGCCTTCACGGCGATAGAGGACACCATCAGCAGATGGCTTGAAGGTACCAGGAATCCGGTCGAAGACACGGTTGGCGGCAGCTTCAACATCTTTGGACTTCCAGCCAGCGGGGAAGTTGTAGTCCCAGTCAGACGCGGGGGGCTGATTTATGTGTAAGCAAGCGTTCTGCAGGATGGGGCTTGGAGTTTGAAATTACCTTCCACCAGAGACCAGCGTTGACAGCAGTACCGCCGCCCAGAACACAACCAGCCATCTGGTCAGTATCAGTACAGGCAATGCCGGCGCTGTCGACCCAGATCTGATTGCAGAGGCCGGGGACATCGAAGCGAGTGAGATTGGTTCCCTCGAGCCACTTGGGCTTCATGGTGCCACCCCAGCGACCGGAGGAAGGAGGTCCCTTTTCGATGAGCAAGACGCTGTGGCCGGCGGCGCTGAGCTTGTCGGCAACGGGGATACCGCCGGCACCGCCACCAACAACGATGTAGTCATAGACCTTTTCGGGAGCAGGAGTGCACTCAGCATCACCAGGACCAGTACTAGAAGATCGTCAGCATCACACCTTCCCGAACTGATAGTACCGCTACTTACCCCTCACAGTCAGTCTCAGGAGTAGTCGTAGCAAGCTGAGCCCACTCGGCGTACGACTCGGAAGTGGCACCCTCCAAGGGAGCACCCCACTGACCAAAGCCAGCATCGTGGAAGCCAAACGTGGCGCGGTCAGGGCAGGTTGGGTTCTCCAGACCAGAGCTGCCAGCCGCGTGACCCAAAACGAGGAATCCCTGTGTTGTCTCGACGCTGCCGCTGGTGCCGTCTTGGTTCCAGGAGAAGCAGTTCTGGCAACGGTAGATCAGCTCGAAGTGGGTGTCGGTGACGTTCGAAGAAACTTGGGTCAGCTTTGCATCGCCGGTGTAGAGGCCAGGTAAGGTGTAGCCGGTGGCCCAGCGGAAAGAAGTGTAGACAGTTCCCTCAGAGGCCCAGGCAACGAGGAGCAGGGCGTTGGTCATCTGACCGGCCTGGCCGTGGGAAAGACCGCACCAGCCGGGAGCAGCGGCATCTTCGATTTTGCAGCGCTATTCTCTGTCAGCACAAGAAGAAGTGAGGGTAGATGATCCACATACGAGGATACCAAGGTACTCGTTGGCGTTTTTGGTCAAAGCATCACCTGGGAGAGCCAGACCGAAGGTGAATGGAGAGGCTTCGGTAGCCTCGGTGCCTTGAGTCCACGTCTTGAATTTGATGCCGGACGTTTGATCAGTGTAGGTACCATCAGCCATTTGCGCGATGCCATGCTGCAGGTCTGTCGATTATCAGCCGGATTTCCATCACAAAACTTATTAGGAGCACCTACAAAGCGACGCCGCGAGGGCAGTCGCGCCAACACGGCTGAGAAGCTTCATTGTCACTTTCCAGAACAGCCAAAGCACAGGACGATTCTGGATTCAGCGCTGGGCCAAAGAAGACAAGCCAGCCTCCAGATACAAACGTCTCAGGCGGGGAGCGGCCATGGATATAACCACATCGCGAGCGTAAGCTGACTGTGCCTGACTCCGCATTCCCAGGATCGAATCACGGAAGCGCAGTCCGGGGAAAACAAATGGAATGTCACCGATAGGATGGATCCGCGGCAGAATCAGAGCCGATGACTTGGAGGAGATGTAGGGAAATAAATTGGGCTGCATGACCAGAGTATAGCCTCCGCCAGGAGAATATGGGATCTGCGGCGTTGGCAAAGCCATGCTTGATATGAAGGGAGCAGATAGATTGGAGAAGGAGCCGCGCGGTGGGGTTTCCCCAAGATTTCCCCAGGGCGGAAGAAGCTGATGAGTTTGGCGAGGAGGCGGCATGGCACGCGGAGGCAGGGGAGTTCAGGGGAGGCAAGGCACCGAACGGAAGCAGACGCCGACGCGGGACGTTTCGACTCATGGCCAAGCATTAATGTATGAACCGGTAATCTTGCCTGCATAGTCGCTGACGTTGTCTGTCTCCATTCTCAGGGGACGCGTTTGCGCTCCAATCTCAGGTGCCTCGGAACAAAACAGCAGCATTGGGCTGCAGATCACAAAGATCACGGTGCATTATGGGGTGCCCACAATCGGTGCGCCGACTGAATGCAACATAGAATACTGGTTGGCGGACAGCCGAGTCAGTGAAGAAATCACCAACCCCTCTTTCCTGGCGTGGCTGATTCGGTCGGTCTGAATGAAGTTGGAATTGATTCGAAGAGGCCAAATCCGGGTGTTTCCACGAAGGTGAATCTCAACGGCGTTGCGGCAAAGAGAGCGGCAACAACGGGGAATTTCCAGCGGCTCCAGAGCGGCGCGGTAGAGGGTCCTTGGGAAGTCCTTGGCTCGGGGTTGGCCGGTTCCAGAAAAAATTCCGTAGTGGTGCTCAAGGTTGTAATCTCCCCCACTTTGGATAAAGTCCTGTCAGTCAGCCACCAGCGTCTACTGGCGCTGTAGTCGTTAACGGATGCTGGCGACCCATTTTGCTCTTCAATCAGGCTATACCCAATCAACTTGCGTATAGTAGATCTCGCGGTCCGTCGGGCCAGCCCTAGGATTGAGACCGTGGCGATTGCTCACGAGGCCGCCCCTGTTTGGGGAGGTCTGTCGGTCGAACTGTGGGGAGAGCATGCGATGGGCGTTTCTGGGGATAATAAACGAGGCGGCTGATGGCGGCTGCTTTATACGTTCGCTTCGATCGATCGATATGCGGAGGGTCGATGTCCTCGGTTTTTGGCAACGGTGAGAGTCGTGTTCGTGAGGGAAAATATGCAAGAAGGAACAGAAAACTGCAAAAACAGAACGCCAGGGCGCACAAAGGCATATATTTATCTGTGATAAAGGGCCGACCAAGAACCCAAGATCTTGGGCCCTGTTTGGTGCCCATCAACAGCATGTGGAAGGGGGTGGAGGGGTAGCAGCAAGGCAGACAGGCACCCTTCAACTGCCGTGCAACTGTCAAGCTAGCTCCCGTGACCTGACTGCCGGATTGCATTCTCTGCATTGCTTGTTCTGCCTGCGCATGTCCCGTGACCTCAGTGCAGTCTCGAGTCTGGGGAAGGAACCACCTCTCTGCCTGTTTTAGACCGGATGCTTGTCTCCGCCATTTTTGCTCCAGCTTCAAGGGCACCAGATCGCTATATCTGCAGATGTGCAAGCAAATATTCGTCGGCTGCAAGTGTTTTTCAGTTCGTAGACAGAGGTTCATGATTTCAGTTAGGAGTGATGAGTTTCTCATTCGATGGGTAGCCAAGTCAGATCGATAGCTCTCATCTGTTAGAGCTCTATCTCAGCCAGTGTTCGGCACTCAGGTTGCAGACAAGAGTGTCAGAGCACGGCATCAATGGTCTCCATCAAAACGTGCGGGTTGATATTGGCCAGCCAGCTTCTCATTCGACAGACAATCTGGGGCACACACAACCTCATTTGTCACCCATCCTCGACGTAGTTTTCCTGGATTGCTAACTTCGTCTGCAGCTTTGACTGGCTCATCGCGATGGCATGGACAGCTAAAGACTCCCATCATGGCCACAGACGGGCCGTTTCATATACACTCTCTGATCCTTTCAACCCGGCATTTGCGGCCCAACGTTATCCGCAGTGGTTGAAATGGCCGTCTTGTTCTTCTTTATATACTGGTATACTGGCAAAGCTGTGTCCTAATCAGCTAGTTAAGGATCTCAAGACCAAACACCTAGCATTTTGGTTGAAATTTCTCTAGTTCATCTTTGATACCATCAACATGAAGGTCTTCCCCATTGTTACTGCCCTTACGCTGGGTGTTGCTGATGTCTCAGCCCACTACATCTTCCAACAGTTCGGTGTTGGCTCAACAAAGTTCGGCGTCTTCGAACACATTCGCAAGAACAACAACCACAACTCGCCAGTGACCAGCTTGTCAGACAACAACCTCCGTTGCAATGTCGGAGGAGCCTCAGGTGCTAGCACCAGTGTTGTCAATGTTAAGGCTGGAGACTCGGTGACCTTTTACACCGATCAAGCTGTGTACCACCAAGGACCTATTTCTCTGTATGAAATGCCGTCATCTTCGGACTGGATATAACAGCTAACCTTCTTTCAGCTACATGTCGAAGGCGCCTGGCTCAGTTAAAGACTACGACGGATCCGGTGAATGGTTCAAGATCTACGATTGGGGCCCGACCATCAACGGCGGCCAATCATCCTGGCCAATGAGATGTACGTCGTGTTGGTTTTCATATTACCTTAGCTCATCAGCATGCTAACATCCCATCTTCACAGCATCCTACCAAGCCAACCTGCCCAGGTGCATCCCCAACGGAGAGTACCTCCTCCGCATCCAATCCCTCGCCATACACAATCCAGGCTCAACCCCCCAATTCTATATCAGCTGCGCGCAAATCAACGTTTCCGGTGGTGGAAACTCCAGCCCCAGTCCCACGGTCAAGATCCCTGGCGCTTTCAAGGCTACCGACCCCGGATACACAGCCAACGTAAGTCTCGGTGTTGGTATTGACAGAAAACCGGATGCTGACTTTGAGGGCAGATCTACAACAACCTCCAGTCCTACACCGTCCCAGGACCCAAGGTGTTCACCTGCTAAGCGCGGCATAGGTCAAATGATGGATATGTACATAGTCCCACTACAGGCAGCGACACGACATGAGGCATTTTGAATGATGATTTTTTCAAGGAAACATGCATTGACTTTGTTTCAAGCTTACTCCTGAGGGCGGCCTGGTTGTTCCCGTCCCGGGCTGGCCGGTCCGCCTTGCCCCCAGTTCCGCCGAAGGATCGGCGCTGAGTCTCCACTTCGCCGGTCCCTACTGCTTCGGGCTGGGAGGCGGCATTTCGTGAAGTGGCTACCTCATCAGCGTTGAGTTCTATACACGAGTCGCAATCAAAAGAGTACCATAGATGCTAGACTTGAACGAACGTGCCTGTTATATCAGAATGCGCGGGCTGATTCTCTGACTGCAAGAAGCAAAGGCTCAGCTTGTTGGTCAACCCTGATTCTGAATACGGCCCAAACCTCTAGGCACTATTCCCAAAGAACTTTGTAATCTTCTGACTTCCTGCCCCCGCTGGCGCAACCTTGCCCTTCTTCTTCTCTGGGCTCCTCGTGTGCTTGTTACTCGTCGCACTGATCTTTGGTCTCTCTTTGACAGGCGATTCCCACTTCACCGGCCCCTCTTCTTTGACATTCTTGCTTGGTGAACCCTCCTCTTTCACTTTCTTACCCGGTGGCTCCTCTTCCGCATGATCCTCCGTTTCTCTTTTCACCCCTTGCTTTCCCTCTGTCACTACAACCCCCATCCCCTCCTCATCCTCCCTCTTCACCTCCTCCACACTCTTCACCTCTTTCCCCCCATCCACCATCTCCACCTCCACCTCCCCTTTCAACGGCTCCCTCTTCTTACTCTTCGCCGCAGCATTCGCAAAGAAATTCTCAATATTCCCCTTATTCTCCCTACTCCCCACCGGCACTACAAAAACAGCATCGTCATTCCCAACCTTGCCCACCTCCTTACTAACAGGATAAACCTCCAGCTCCCCCTCATACGGCCTCAACACCCCCTGCAACTCCTTACTCCACTCCCTCCTCCCCAAATCCAACCAAACCCTCAACCTCTCCGACTCCGCGTCAAGAATAACAGGCATCCTGTCATGCAAGAACCTCAACTGATCATTCGACGAAGTGGTGATAATAGTATAACTCCACACCTTCCTTGTCTCCCCCTCCCCCTCTCCATTCAACGGCGGGAGAGAAGCACAATCCCACAAGCCAGCCAAAAGCATCAACCTCCCATCTTTCCTCTTGACATAATGCGGAATCTTTTCCTTGCCTTTCTGAAGCCACTCGTAAAACCCCTGCGCAATAACCGCGCACCTCTTTTTGGACTTCATGCTCGCCCACATACCCCCTGACTGGGCGAGAGAGTCATCGCGGCAGTTTATTGTTTTGAGGGTGGAGGGAAAAGAGGGGCTGGATTTGATCCAGGAGGGGATGAGGCCCCATTTCATGGATTGGAGTTTGAAGGCTGGGGTGGGGGAGTAGTCTTGTTCTTGTGGTTCATCCAGTGCCTGGTGATGATTATGACCAGCACCGGCGTCGGCGCGGTAGACTACCCCGTTGTAGCCTGGGGCAAAGTTGTAAGATTGGCGGGGGGCGCCGTCGCCTTCGTCGGCGGGGGTGTCATCGACTTGGAGGTCGTAGTCGTTTTGGAGCATTTGGCGGACTTGGGAGGGCCGCTTGAGGAATTGGTTAGTGGAGGGGGTCGCACCGGCCGGTGGGGAGGGGTTGGGGTGGGTGGGTATAGGTGATGAGGCTTACTAGGGCCATGGCATATCTGCCGCACATTGTGAGTCGAAGGATTTATGTGGTATCGGGCTAGCGCAAGTCGCAAGATGTAGCTGTGATGCTAATTGTGCAATGGCTCGTCGTTAGACTTGTAGAAGTAATGACGTAAATCGTTAGACGCGACAAAGCAGCCCCGCCCCTCAAAGACGGAATTCCAAGTCGCCAGGTCACGTGGGCACCTTGCCCACTACCCCTGAGCACCTGAATCGTAGGTCTGAGATGGAATGTCAAGTGCCAGATAAAGTAGAAAGACCTGAAGTGGCGAGGCATTTCAGAAAATAGGTCACGCAACATATGCTAGCTATTCTGTAAAAGTAATACTCTATCGCTTGAGCGCTTGGGCAAGGTAAGACCTACGATCCCGGCTCCAGCCAAAATGACAGAAAGTGGTTCCTGAAAACACATTACCAACATCATGCTGTATCCGTAGTTGTACCAGGTATCGTTCGCTCGTAGTGGGATGTAAATAACAGCGAAGAATGAAGGAGCGAGTCGAAGACGCAAAGTCTCCATATTTCAGGTTTTGGTCGACCGCCAAAAGGTAGAAACAGTTTGCAATACCAGAAGTAAAGCTACTGGTACTGTGTCACAGTTAACCCAACAGCAGGCCGCGCCACATGTGGGGCGCAGGACGTCCCCAGCCAATCATTAAGGAAGTCAGGAAACAGCCAATCAGGGTTGGACAAAAGTGCTATGGCGCCAAGGTCCACGAGCACTCTGCAGGATGCAAGATGCTAAGGGTGATCGGAGGCATAGCACGACGAGCATGTTGCAGGATGTAATATGCTAAGGGTGATTGGGGCCGTAGCAGGGCGAGCACCTCACGTTCCCAAGGTCTATATATACGGAGGAACTGGCTAGTGTAGATAGACAGTTCCGCAGTATGCAATTACAAGTCACAATCGTGGTATCTTAGCTATTGTGATCGAGATAAGCCATTTGTTGTACACTGTTTAGCTGTACCGAACCAGGATTGTTCAGAAGAGCCTTTAACCGGTACCCCTTTCAGAGGTTCTGGATAGGGGTTCGTCACATATACTGGTTCACCACACTTATCAGTGCCTGACAAGCCTATACTACAGTGATTATGATATATATATTACAGGGCGCCGTCCCTGTAATCCACCTTCTTTTAGTGCCCCGGCAACTGTCGAATGCTGCAGTCAAAGTCTTCTTCGCTCTCAGTGTACTGCGCCGATAGCTATTCGAGCCTATATGTGACGAACCCCTGTACAGAACCTCTGAAAGGGATACGGGTTGAAGGTAACTTCTGACAATTGGTTCGGTGCAGCTAAACAGTGCACAACAAGATGTCTCAATGTAAACACAAGATACCGTGAATACAATTGTGAATTGCATACTGCGGAACTGTCTATCTACACCAGCCAGTTCCTCCGTATATATAGACTAGTGGATTACCTGGTTTACTATGCTAAGCGTGATCCCGGATCACTTCCTCCAGCGTAGGCTTACCATGGATCACTCTCGTCGCCTTAGGATCACTTGGATCACCACGCTCCTGGCGCTCCCAGGCGCTCCACTTCCTATTAGTTCCCTTAACGATTGGCTGGGCACACCCTGTGGTGATGGTGGTGCCAAAACTTCCATTGTGGGGCCGATTCCATTGTTCGGTCCAGACGTCTAAAACATGAAGTGGGATAGTTTGTACTTCTAAAATTGAAGGACCTTGCAGTGTCTCCAAGAGCTTGAACTATTCTGTCGGCGAACCCGTCTTCTCGACGGATAAACCCACCCTTCTGCATGTTGATTACTTTTTCACGCGCAATACTCGCTCGTCTTCGGTGGCTGGCCCCTTCGCTGCATGTAGCCGGTAATGGCAAGACCAAAGCATGCGCGAAAGAAATTCCCTCTCATCGTCTTACCAGACGGTACCAGCCCCTCGTAGTTACTAACAACACCTACAAAAAGATCCTTGGTCAAAGCAAGATCGCCCTCAAACCCGCAGAGAGCTCGAGACAGGACAGGCTCGGCCTGCGCCAGTCGGTGAAGCCGACCCTGCCGCTCACTCACAATCTCCGTCTTCGTGTTGTCCGCCACGCTTTGCGCCCTCTCCCAGAGTCCAAGCTAAGCATACACCGCAATAAGATGCAGCCGCGAGGAGAACCGAACCCTGGGTGGAGGGTACTGGCTGGAAAGGGGTTCGAAGTATTGGTGTGGTGCTTCAAAATTACCCTGGAAACGATAAAGCTTGCCTTTCATATGATTGAGGCGGGAAGACATGACATTTTCAAGACTCGAGGGCTGGCCACGTGGAAAGGTGTCCACTAACTAACAAACTTCCAAGCTTCCAAGACACGCCCGAGTTCAACGGATTGTTGGGCGTGGGATAGGAGCATCTCCACGCGTTGGCTATCCCCTTTTCGGCCCGTCCGAGGAGATAACGAAAAAGACACCGTTTGTCCACGCAGCAAGGATATAGTGAGTTGACGGAGATGGATGCTGAAAATTAGTGATGAGGGCGCTATTCGATCCGCTAGCTCTTGTGCCACCTCGAGAGCATAGGTTTTCAGGAGGTGGTCTCCAAAGTGCGAAATAGAAATACACACTTCGATTACGCCCGGGATCTTGTTCTCCAGCAATTTATCCACGGGCAGCCTATATAGCACAGGAACCACGAAAGGAAGATATGTGTGCCCTTTTTCAACAACACTATACAATTAAGATCGACTTTGCCAGGTAGGAACTCCGGGTCTTCCCTAGTATCGAGGTCAGGGAGTGGAAATCCGTGGAAAACAAGCCTCATTGTATCCAGCTCCCCGCGAATATTGTCCTGGATCGGGGTGCCGCCAACAAGAGCAGCTCTGCGTGGGCTGAGTTTTCTCTATATTCACAGCGGAACAAAAGTGAGGAGCAGAGCTTTGTTGAGATTTGTCAGGGGAGCATAAAAGCCATCTTCAAAAGGGCAGAATCCAACGGAGGAGAAGAAGGGCAGCAGCATGATCACGACGTCAAAGACTTGATATCGTCCGGATATCGTCAGTATACTCGGGAAATTGACCACGAGCGACTGTATGAAAGGCTCACGGAATGTGGATATGAATACGGCCCGATATTTCAAGGCATTCAACATGCCTGCTTGGATGGGGGTGGACATGCTGTTGGGCGTGTTACCATCTGCAGAGGTTCCACCGTGCTTTGGCAACAAGATTCCACTCGCCATCCATCCATGCGACCTTGACTCTATTCTTCAGCTTTGCCTGCCGATTACGGGGGAGGAAACTCCCAAAGAAACCTGGGTTCCAACGTATATGGCCAAGTTGTTCATTCCAGCCAAAGGCTTTGGCAGTACTGAATTAGTTGAAGTCGATGTCTATGACACCACGGAGCAGAGTGGCCGCAGGTTGTGCCAGTCAGGTGTGCAAGCTGTGTTATCTAACGGCTCATGCGATACAGTTGTTCTACAGATCGAAGGTGCAGAGCTAACAATGATAACCGATACCACGAAAGAATCCAACGCCGAAACCTCGCAAAGCGAAGAGCGACGACTCTGCTACGACCTAACCTACACACCCGACATCACTTCCCTCACCCCACAGCAGCTACAAGACTACCTGCACAACCCCCCACCACCCCCCCAACCCGACCCCACCGACTTCCTCTCCTCCCTCAGAAGCTACACCGCCACCTGCATGTCCTTCGCCGCAACCACCATCCCCCTCGCCAGCATCCCCCTCGACAAACCCACCTTATCCAGCTACACTCCTGGATCACCCACAACATCCCACCCCCCCACCTCCAGTCCCAAAGAACTTTCCTCCCTCACAACCACCTCTCCTCAACACGCCTAGGCGAAATCCACGTCTGGTTCGCCGCCCAGCTCAAGTCCATTCTCCGCGGGGAAGTCGACCCCCTAAGCATCCTCCTCGAAAACGACACGCTCAAGGAATACTACCACCACTTCAACAAACTCATGAAATACTACGACCCACTAACCAAGAACCTCGCTGTTCTGGGGCACAAAAACCCAGGGATGCCCATTCTTAAAGTAGGGGCTGGAACGGGGTCAACGACGGAGTATATCCTGAGTGCCTTGGTCACGTCAACTGATGAGGATAAGACGCGCTTTCGGAAGTTTGGACGGTATGACTTTACGGATATCTCGCCTTTGTTCCTTGGTCGGGTGAGGGAGACGGTAGTGGGGAAGATGGGGGGTGAAAAGATGAGGTATTGTGTTTTTGATGTGGAGGGTGATGGGAGACAGGGGTTGAAAGGGGGGGTTTGATTTGGTAGTTGCTGCTAATGTGAGTTGTTGAGTTCGAGAGCAATATGGTCTGGTGGTGGTGAGATAGCTGCTGACGCAGGACAGGTTCTGCACACTATCCCGTTGTTGGAGAGGTCGCTTGGGAATCTGCATAGGCTTTTGAGAGGGTGAATGTGTTGCCTTTGCTCTTTCGGGTGGTATAAGTCGAAGCTGACTCAAGGTGAGGGGGAAAACTTATTTTGGTCGAGGTTACTAACCCGTCGAGTACCATCGGCCCGTTCATGTTTGAGAGGTTTGTCTTTGCCCACCTTTTCACGAACTGTTGCTAACCTCTTCAACAAACAGCTGCTGAGACCTGGCGCCAGAAGGGGCCGGTGGCTACCCCTACCGACTGGGACCGGGAGCTTCGGAGGACTTGTTTCCAGATGGAAACGATACTGCACGATTTTGAAGAGGAATAAAACCGTTTTAGCAGTGTCACCATCGCCAACAAGGTCAGTCCCGTTGTGGAAGCTGGTAGTTTGGGTTACTCGACAACGGCACTTCTTGTGACCGGTTGGGAGGAGATTCCCGTTTCTGCAACCAGACACCAAATTATGGTTTGGACTCGGGCCATCAAGGCCTGTCTTGGTGAGCAAGGGATAGCAGCCACATGCTGCACTTTCTCCCAGGCGGTATCTCGGACACATGCCAAGACTACCCCTGAACAGCCCCTTATCATTATCCTCCAAGACAGCGCAACCTGGACATCATTCGCACACCTCAACCCTGAACAATACTCAGCCTTTCATGACACCCTTTCCGCAGCAAACAACATAATGTGGATAGGGGAAAACACGCCTTTTTCCATCGGCCCAGTCCTTGGTCTCGCTTGCGTGCTGCGCAAGGAACGTCACGGGCTGGTCTTCTCCACCGTCGCCCTCGATCCATCCTCTACACCCGAAGCAGTTTCAGCGTGTATCCGTCAAGCAGCAAACAATTTCCTGCAAGTGTCTCAACGGGTGCCTGTCCCGAGTGGGAGCTCACCCAAATCGGTCAACCCGGCCTACTGGACACCCTCCACTTCGAGTCCCTACCCACCGCCACCACCACCTTCCCCCACGCAGTCGCCATCCCCATCAACTTTGTCCCGCACACCACTCCCTCCTCCGCACCGCGCGCCTTTCCCCCGGGGAGACGATCCTCATCCACTCTGGCGCCGGCGGCACAGGACAAGCAGCCATCCAAATTGCCAGCTGGATCGGCGCGACAGTATTCGTCACTGTGGGGTCGCAAGAAAAAAAAGAGATGATAATGGCGAGGTATGGGATTCCGAGGGAGAGGGTGCTGTACAGTAGGGACCTTTCCTTTGCGGGGGAGGTCAGGAGGTTGACTGCGGGGAGGGGGGTGGACGTGGTGCTTAATAGTTTGGCGGGGGATGCGCTGGTGGTGTCGTGGGAGTGCGTTGCGCCGTTTGGGCGGTTTGTCGAGATTGGGAAGAGGGATATCTTTTCCCATGGGGAGATTGCCCATGTACCAGTTTGCAAAGAATGTATCGTTTTGCGCGGTGGATTTGAGAGCTGTGTCGGTTGATCGGCCTGAGGTTATCAAGGAGGTGCTGGGGGAGGTGCTCGGGGTGTTTGAGCGGGGGGTGCTGAGGCTGCCGGAGCCGGTGAGGGTGTTTGGGACGGGGGAGGTGGAGGAGGCGTTTCGGTGTTTGCAAAGTGGGAAGAATGCTGAGAAGGTGGTTGCTGATGTTGAGGGTGGTGGCGATGGGGAATTGACAGGGGCTGTTGTTCCAAGGGGTGGCAGTTCGAAGGGGATGGGAGGTATGTCATTGCCGGGGGCTTGGGTGCCATGGGCCGGGTTATTGCGGAGTGGATGGCGGCGAAGGGGGTTGGGCACCTGGTTCTGCTGTCACGGTCCGGAGCTACGTCAGCAGAGGCGTTGGCCTTCATTGAACGTTTGCAGAGCCAAGGGGCTGCCATCTACTCCCCCGTCTGTGATGCTGCCGACGGAGAATCGCTCCGTGCGGTTTTGGATCGCTGTAAGGCTCACATGCCACCCATCAAAGGCTGTATCCAGGTAGCCACGGTACTCCGAGATAGCTTCTTCGAGGACATGGACCACGAATCTTGGTCTGTCCCTCTGAAATCAAAGATTGACGCATCATGGAGCCTGCACAAACAGCTCACTGCAAACCTGGACTTTTTCGTCTTGTTCTCGTCAGTCGCCGCCATCATCGGCTCACAGGCCCAAGCAAACTACGCAGCAGGAAACACCTTCCAGGATGAACTGTCTCGCCACCGCATCAGTAAAGGCCTCCGTACACTCTCGGTCAACTTGAGTCTTGTCGGCGGCCTGTCGGGTTCTCGGCCGAGCATCCCAATCTGGCGCAGCAGTTCATCTTGACCAAGCACATCCTCGACATGTCGAGTAATGAGATGCTTGGGGTGTTGGAGTTCTATTGCAATCCCGAGAATGCAGCCAGCATTAAAACTTCCCAAGTGGTGATGGGCTTGGACCTTCCTCACCGTGTATTGGAAAGAAATATGGACCTACCAGCTTGGATGTACCAGTCGACTTTTGCGAATCTTCATCAGATCACTGGGAATTCTCAAGCCTCGCTGTCGGACGCGCCAAGCAAAGACCCCAAGCGCTCGGGTGCTGATAATCTGCGCGCTCGTGCTGAGCAGGCAAAGTCTGTGGTGGAGGCTGCCACTCTTTTGTCTGGGGCTCTCATCCCAAAGTTATGCAAAGTGCTCGGACGGGGCCCAAACGACATAGACCCAATTAAGCCGCTATATGTCTATGGTGTTGACTCACTTATAGCTGTTGAACTGCAGAACTGGCTGAAAGAGATGCTAAAGGTGGATGTGGCTGTTTTTGAGTTCTTGGGGGGCTTAAGTTGCGCGATAATTGCACATGATGTTGCTGGAAAAATATGGGAGTGGAGAGGCGTGAGAGCTCTATCTTGTGAAGAGGCGGATGGAGCCACTTTGTAGAGAAGGCTTTGCTTCGGCAAAAAATTGCAAAAGTAGATTGATGAGAGTGGGATTCGAACCCACGCCCTTTCGGACCACGGAATCCAGCTAGTAGGATGTTGATTAAGGAAAACCTTAACGTGGCGCCTTAGACCGCTCGGCCATCTCACCTTGATAATTTGCTGAAAAAACAGTTCGGATCTACTGCACATGAAAATGATTGTGCACTCACTGCACTAATGCAACTGACAACTCTGAGCTCTATATGCCAACAGTAACTGTAGAAGAGATACTCCAAACAAATTTGTAAAATTAGCAAACCAGCCCCCAGTCTACACATTGCAAAGAGGTTGAATATGAATAGTGTGAAATAATCGCCAGCTTCAGGACTCTGCCGAGTCGCCTCCGTTTCCGTGCCTATCTGCCTTCTTATCCTTATCCCCACCACCGTTATCATTTGCATTCTTGTTCCCAAGCACAAGCTTCTGTTGACGCCACGCTACACGCTTGACCACCGACTGCGGTAGGCATACCAGACCTCGGGGAGCGGACTTGAACCCATATTCCCCTCTCATCGCGGCTAGTGATATTGGCTTCCGCAGCTCGTAAACCGAGACAATCTTGTAGGCGAAATCGTAACCGGCCCAGTCTCTGTGCCTGTTGTTGAACTCTGCGTTTTCAGATCCGTGTTCCTCGATAGGGGCATCGCCGGGGTTTCGCGTCCTTGCTGGAAGAATCTCGCAGATATGGGTGAGGGTCGAGTGCGGCGCGGTGCGGTAAAACCAGATGCGCTTGACGCTGGGCTTCAGGCAGTACTTGCGGAACTCGTAGTTTTTTGTCCCGTTGATGATTTGGCTCATGTAGGGATCCTGCATGGGAAGGATCACATCGGCGGTCAGGTTCTTAGAGTGAGCATCTTGGAGGTCGACCGACTAAGGTGGGCGAAAAACTGAGCGCGGGTCGGAAGACGGAACGCGTTTGAGTTTATTGGGATTTTGGGGGGTCGTCCCTTGAGTAACCAGCCAGCACACAATAACCCTCGCAGGTGATTTGGCCAATCAA